CATGCAGGAAACACCACCATCCTGCTGGCCAGTCGCGCCATGGACTCGCTCGCCACCCAGTGCTCCTCCGAATCACCTTGTCCGCTGTGTCCTTTCTCAGCCTCTTCTCCCCAAAGCCACGCCCAAGACTCGGGTGTTAGGGTTTGGCAAAATTGGAAAAACAGAAAGGTGATTAATAACCATTTTATCATTATTATTATTATTATTATTTTTTTTTTAGACTTCTCATTCTGTGGTAAATATCTTTTCCTCAACTCGTTAAATTATGCAATGAAGTTATCTTTCCTGTATTCTGCATTCAATTGTCTGTTCATAGTATCAATTTGCAGTCTGTGAATTACCTAACTAGACTGACTGCCGCCTAAAAATGATTTTGCCTTCATCGCCGCCGCTCCCATGTATTTTTACCACCGCCTGAGACTGCTCTTCCCTCAGCACCCCCGCAACGTCGCATTCTGTGACGCCGCCTGATGATGGTTTCCCCAAAACGCCGCCCGTAGCCCCAAAGTCGAGGATCGGAATATCGGACTCTGGGAACTCGTCTTCACTCGTATAAAGCTACCCTGTCGGCGATTTCTTAACCCGGTCACACGGGGCGAACAGAATCAGCGCCGAACCGCTAGATTTCAGCGGCAAAAATGGCGTCTTCGGAAGACTCGCACATGTAAACAATGATGACGTCACGGATACTCTCCAGTGAATTTCCCTGTAAAGATGAACACGCTTGGAAAATAGGACATAGAATGAAATATCTAGTAAAACGAGAAAAAAATGAAAAAAAAAACATTATTTGAAGTATATATGATTATTATTTGTGCAGTTGAGAATTCATTTCTAGTGAAAATATATATAAACTGTATATATGTATGTATGTATATATATACATATATATAATAATATATATATATATATATATATATATATATATATATATATATATATATATATATATATGCACACACCACACACACACACACACACACACACACACACACACACACACACATATATATATATATATATATATATATATATATATATATATATATATATATTATATTATATTATATATATGTGTATATATATACATATACATTATATATATGATATGTGTGATATATGATATATACAGTATATGTATTATATATATTATAATATATATATATATATATATGTATATATATATAATATATGTATATTATATATATGTATAAATATATATATATACATATATATACCTTATGCAAACGTACATACATACAATTGTAACACACACACACACACACACACACACACACACACACACATATATATTATATGTGTGTGTGTGTGTGTGTTTGTGTATGTATATGTATAAATATATTTGTGTGTGTGTGTGTTTGTATATATACACACAATGTGTTGTAGGTATAGAGATGTATGTGTATATGTCTGTACACGTACACGTAAACCCTATATTCGCACATACACAACCTCCCAGCAGCGCATGGAAGCCCTCGACCCTCCACGCCTTCCCGCCACACGACCCCCTTGCATCAAACACCCCCGGCGCTCCTTGTCGTCCAACATGCGGGCTGCTGGTCAGGATAAGATTCATTCCACGTGATAAGGCCACGTCCTGAGTGCCTGGTGACGTGCCACAGCTGCGAGAGAGACAGGTGACGAAGCATTATGGGAAGGGGTTTCGTTCGCTCGTCGGATTTTGTATGGGTGGCTAGACGTGGGGGTTTGGGTCTTCCGCTGTCTGGCTTTCGTGTGTGTGTGTGTGGGGGGGGGGAGGCTATGGTGTAGGGTGTCACACTCTATAGGGTATTTTTTCTTTTGCAAACCACTGGATATATATACATATTCTTTTTTTTGGTATTAGCAACTGTCTATGTATGGATATATGTTTGGTGTATATATATATATTATTTTTTTGGTATTAACAACTGTGTATGTATGGATATATGTTTTTTATTATTTTTTCACATACTATACTATTTTTTTTTCATCTGTCAGTCAGCGGTTAGATATTTTTATAGGTACTGACTAATAAAAAAATAATAAAATAAATAAAAGACGTGTGTGTGTGTCGAACGTGTTCTTATAAATATAAAAACGTTCTTTCGCAATGTCGGTTTGTGTTTGACGTAACAATCTGACCTTTTTACGTCTGGCACCTTTATTTCATCATGATGGCAGCGGCGAGGGCAGTTGCACAGTAACATTTCTGCAGGCTACAAACACCTAGGTTTTCTATATCAGTTCTGACTTCAATATCATGATATTTTGGTGAGTGTTCAGTTTTTTATCGTTTTTACTATAAATCTGTGGAACTACTATACAATGGAATAAATGAATGATACAGATGAAAAGGATAAATGGAAAGAACCTGAGAAGGTGGCAGTAAGTGAAACTGATCATTATATTCAAATAAAAATTTAGCTTGTTCGTGAACCATAGAAAAAATGTTTACTCACTGACATGCAACGTTGCAGTTCGTATTTTATAACGAAGAGTGTTTAATTAATTGCTATCTTGAATTGATATTTACTTGATTCAATGGTTTATTGAACAAGATTTCCTAATTTGAATATGCCTGCTACTGATCTTTGCAGATATCACCTCATTATTTCATTCTCATATGAATATCTACAAATAAATTGCGCATTTTTAATTCTTTTGTTTTTGCTTCGCGTTTTTATTTTATTTTTATTTTGCCTTCTTTTGATTGTTTTCATAAAGTTAAAGTCCAATCATTGTGTATCCTCAAGCGCACACACACACACACATACGCACAAAGACAGACACACACACACACATACGCACAAAGACACACACACACACGTACACACTCACACACACTCAAACCCCGTCTTTAAAAAGTAGCCTCATTTACACATTTCAGGATATAGAAAGACAAAAAAAAAAATGAGCTGAAATAAGTTTATTCACCCCCCTCCCCCAAAGACCCTTAAGATTACAAGTAAAAAGCTCCCAAAATATAGTGAGTATGTCGAATGAGCTTCAAAACATGGCCGCTCATGTTCTTACACTATCAAACAGAGCTCACAAGATCACAATTACAATGTTTTCCTTTGTTTTCGTTTTGTTTTTTTTTGGAATGTCTAGGACGTTGGTGTAATGGTACTCCTCGCGATTACTACGAGTTTAAAGTGCTTGCCGATCGAATGAAAAAGGAAAAAGACGAAAATATTTGGTTTGGTGGGAGATAATGGTCTTCTTAAAGAGCTATTTTGGTGAATGCATTTTCTGTTTTTCGGTAAAATTGTTTTTTATTCTTTTTCGTATTTTTCCTTTTTTTTACTTTGTGACACTTATTATTATTGCTCCATAATGCATATATATATATATATATATATATATATATATATATATATATATATATATATATATATATATATATATATATATACGTATAGTATATATATATATAATATATATATATATATATATATATATATATATATATATATATATATATATAATACATGTAAACATATATGTATCTATATAAGCTGCATATATATAATGTGTACTGCATATAAAGTATATAATTACATATATATTTCACTTCCTATTTCTCTCACCATTGCCACTAACCTTTACATAATTTTCATGTATCGCTGGCACTTCAAATTAGATTTCTTGTTCACATTTACCTCCCCTTTTTCTCCTTCTTTTCCGTCATCTCTCCCACGCATGCGCCACAGAGAGACACGCGAATGGGCTATACTTCTTATCAGCATCTTATCAGTCAGTGACATTCATAACTGTGTCCTTCAAGTGCTCCGTTTTGCTTATCAAAATAATCCTTCTGGACGTGAATTCTTACATCAAAACAACCTACTAAGTTTTTTTTCTTCTAAATCACAATAGTATATATACTTTCCTTTCGGCAGCGCGGACACAGCCAAAACAAACAACACATTCGCACGTCACCGCAGTCAGCTGTTAGCGTCACAGTCAGCTGTTAGAAGATACCAACACACATTTTTGAAATCACAGTCAGGAAGCATACACTTATCTCGTTTGGTATAATGACCGTACTGTCGTCCATGATACCATTCAGCGCTTCTTTACACAAATTATAGGATGTGGTCATCATGTGGCTGCAGCATAGGCGTCATCTCGTAACTGTAGTGGTGGAAGTCACTTTGAGACTAGAACTAAAGCAGGGATTTTCACTTCCTTTCGTTAACAATCTCCCTTTCTCGAGTACCCTTGAGACAAGCACTAAAACAAGGACTTTCATCTCTTTATCAACACCTTCCTATTTTTCTTCAGTACTCTCTCACGTCCGTTGGAGTTTCTGTGTATTACTAAAATTATTATTATTGCTGTTAGTACTCTGCATCGACACTCAACACTCATTAGCTCACGTTCAAACAGAGAAAAATATACGCTTTTCTTTATCTCTACGCTATTCCCTTACCTAAAGCCAGAGTGGGATATTGCCGTCCAAAGACCAACATTTTACAGTATTGTCTATGTTAATGTTCGACTATGGAAACCAATTCTTCGGCCAGCCAAAGTTATAGTCCAATCAGTGTGTATCCTCAAGCGCACACACATACGCACAAAAACAGAGATACACACACACACACACACACACACGACACACACACGATATATATACACATACATACATACATACATACATACACACACACACACACACACACACATATATATATATATATATATATAATATATATATATACATATATATTTTTATGTGCATATATGTATATATATATATATATATATATATATATATATATATATATATATATATATATATATATATATATATATATATATATAATATATATATATATGTGTGTGTTTGTAAATTGTAATACTCACGACAACACAGACATACAAAATCCGTTGCTCCTGCAGGTGCGCTTGACAAAAAACTTTCCTCCCTTTTGGGAACAAAGCCCAAGGAACAGCTCTGACCTTCGCTCCGTCTCTTGGACACATATCTATTCTTTACTCATCGATTCTTATCATTTTACTAACACTAACTTGAAAAAAATAGGCACATATGTGAATCGCTCAGCAGTATACAATATACACACAGACACCCAGTCCCTGTCGTCCAGCTGCAGCTCTGAGACACCAGACTACGCCCTGCTATTTGGGGATCAACTAACAACAACAGGAAGAACAATGCTACCATTACTTTGTAAGTAAGTGGTCGTCCTTTGCCCACTTTACACTTTAAGGCCTTTTTTGTGGTAGGATTCAGTGCTCGTGTTCCTTTGTTTGTTTGTGTGTGTGTGTGTGTGTGTGTGTGTGTGTGTGTGTGTGTGTGTGTTTGTAGTGTACATACACTTACGTATCACAACGTGTAACGCATCTCCAGTAGCGTAGAATTAAGAGAATTAAATCAATGGACAAACAGCCACTTATGTGAAATAATGATGATAAGAATATCCATGATAAGAAACGACAACAAATAAGAAATTATCGAGAGGAACAATGGATTCCTACTAAGTTGAAAACTTTACATAATTACCCATTTTTTTCGATACAGTAGATCCACCTAAAAAGGAAATCTAAGACAGATAAAAAGTTTCGAAAAAATCGTATTTTCTTGTCCTTTCCAACCGCGGCTGTTTCATCCAAGACGGAATCAATGTCAGTTCCAGATTTTCCTGAAGGAAAAGCCAAGGACAAGGCTAACATTTGGACGAGGAATCGAGATGTGAGTTATGAGAAAAATAGTGATTTTTCTTATACCAGTAATCGCTATGCTATCAAAGCGATTATGCTATAATATCTCAGATAAATATTGGGTGATTGTGGAATGAGCTCGGGCTGATAACTATGTTAAAGCTATTGTAACCAAACCTATCAACATATATATATATATACTTGTTCTTTTTCACCTGAAATTATCGCAGACATAGAGAAATGAGTGTCCAAACTCGAGCCTCCGACAAGGCCTCATCTTTCTGCAGCCACGACGATCGCGGTGAAGGGCAGGAAGGGCGGCCTAAATGGCGCTCGACGTGTGCGAGTCGAGGGACCTCTGGATCTCGGCGAAGGTCCTGCCCCTGGTCTCGGGCAAGCACGTGACCACGAAGAGCGCGCCCATGAGCGAGCAGCCGGAGTACACGATGAACACGCCGCCGATGGTCATGAGCTCCACCATGAAGGGGAACGTGAGGCCCACCAGGAACAGGAACAGGCTGAACGACGTGTTGATGATCCCCGCGCCGACGTTGCGCACCTGCGACGGGAGGAGCTCCGCCACCAGCGTCCACGAGGTGGTGCCGACGCCGGACCCGAAGGCGAGGGTGAACACCAGCAGGCAGGCGAGCGGGATCCAGCCCATGGACTCCGGCAGGGGCTCCTCCTTCAGGGACCAGAACCACAGGAAGGCCCCCAGCGTCGCCAGGGCAAAGGACGCCAGCGTCATGCAGGACGACAGCAGGAGGCGTCGCGGGAGGCGCTCGATCAGGAGCCACGACATAAAGCAGGGGAGGAAGCGCGCCGCGCCCATGACCACGGTGCACAGGTAGGGGTCGAGCGACGAGCCGGCCATCTTGAAGATCTGGACGGTGTAGGCCATGGCGGCGTACTGCCCCGTCAGCTCCTTGAACAGCAGCACGAGGACGGACAGGATCAGGGGCTTCAGGTAGGTCGGCTTCTTGAGGAGCAGAAGCTGCTCGGACGCGGTGGGCTTCTGTATTCTCTCCGTGAGCACCGAAGACTTAATTTGCTCCAGCTCCGTCGTGATGTCGGCGTACGGGCCCCTGAGGCAGGCCAGGGAGGCGGCCGTCTCCTCGTCGCGGTCCTGCCTGGCCAGCCACAGGGGGGCTTCGCGGAGGAAGTAGAAGCACACGGCCTGCGGGACGAGCGACGCGGCGATCATGTAGGCCAGGGGCGAGGGCTGGAGGACGAGGCCGGCCAGGTACGTGATGAACACGCCCAGCATGACCATGGCCTCCGACACGCACATGGTCATGCCCCTCCAGCGCGGGACGCTCACCTCCGCCGGGTACACCGTGATCACCACCATGTACACGGCGGCTGGAACGGACGAGCCAAAAGCGTTACCATCGGAAAGGATTCAGAGGTGGCAGAGTTTAATGAAATAATATCTCACCTCTAGGTCTCTCCCTTATATTTTGTCAATTATCTCTAAATCATAAAAAGCAGAGAGCAGTGTAATTCAAAGTTCTTGATTCTTTACAGACCAAATCATCTTTGGTCACCACAAAACGGACACAATGCATCTTCTTGCAATGGTGTAGCTTCCTATTAATCTATCGCCACCAACAGGATTCCTACGACTCACCGACGGCACCCTGGATGATCCTGGCAACCAGCAGGACCCAAAAGTGATGGACGACGGCGACCATGATCCAGGAGAGGGCGAGGAAGGGGAGGGAAACGAGCAGGATCCTTCTCGTTCCCAGACTCTCCACCAGGACTCCGGACCCGACGCAGGCCAGCATACTCACGACCATCGGTGCCGACGCTGGAGTGGAAATGAAGGAAATAAAGAGAGGATTAAAGTGCTGGAATGGATATAAAGTATATAGGCAAGTAAGAGATGTTGGCATATTGAAACATTCTCGTCTGTATCTACCAGCCTATCTATCTGTCTGTTTGTCCCATCCCCTCTCTCTCTCTCTCTCTCTCTCTCTCCTTCCCTCTTCTCTCTCTCCTTCTCTTCCCTCTTCTCTCTCTCCTCTTCCTCTCTCTCTCTCTCTCTCTCTTCCCTCTTCTCTCTCCTCCTTCCCTCTCTCTCTCTTCCTCCTCTCTCTCTCCTCCTCTCTCTCTCTCTTCTCTCTCTCTCTCCTTCCCCTCTCTCTCTCTCTCTCCTTCTGATACCCCTATCCCCCTTCCCCTCAATTAGTCCATAGTTAAACCACAGAGAAGACTTACCGAACCACGTGGCCTGCACAGTGGGTAGAGGCGTACCCATTTCCTCCCAGCGGGGCAGAGCCACAGCAGGGTATGCGTGGATCATGCCCACTGATACCCCTGCCAGGCACGCCACTATTGCCATTGTTACCTATATAAAGAGTGAGTTGTTAAGAGTTGCTCGAGTGAATCCTATCGGTTAATTTGATTTCTATATACCAACAAGCTTTACGGTTTTTTATTCATTATATATTTTATATGACTTGGGTTTAAAGCAATACGTGTAATACTATTGTGTTCATGAGTTATTTAGGGGAAAAAATGCATAAACATAGCCCCTGTTTTGGTGCATACTAGGATCAAAATGCTCAGTCATGCGAATCTCCTGCAGTACTTAAGTATGATCCACTTACCCTCAGTGTAAAGTCCACCTTTCTAAATCTATTCCTTATGGCAGTGCAGAAATTGAGATGCCTAAAGCTACTATGAGTGATCGAAAATAGTGGATAAGGGAATGAATTAAATGAATGAAACGAATCTATGAAAAAGGCAGACTACTTGAAGTATCAAGTAAATTAGAATATATGGAAAATACACATTTTTTTACTAATTTCCGTTCAATCTGTTCTGTTCCTGTAGTTATTTCAAAGCAATAATAATGATAATGCCACCTGGTTCAGATTGGCGTGTTAACAATAGAGCTTTTCGTTTATATAGCTTCTTTCAATGCCTCGTTTTCAAGTATTGCTCAATATCAGATCTATTTGTAAAAGCACTACCGTGAATGAACAACCATTAGGTTTTTATTATGAATATCTAACGAAAACACGAAAGATATTGAAAAATACCGGATTCATAAACAGATTAATTTAATTGTTTTAAATACTTCTTTTCATAGAGCATGACGAAGTTATGATCACAATGCTGCAGGGAACATAGTCCATGATCATTTTTTTTCATATTTTACAATGTTATGGAATAGGGAAGATCCGCCAAAGCGAATAAAAAAAAACGAACAGATAAGTACGTGATGAGAGAGAAATAGATGAATGCGCAACGGAATACCAACCAGATAAAAATGGGGAGAAACGACCGTAACCCTCAGCCCCCAAATGTAAACAACCACTCACCTCCAAACGAGCCAACAGCTGGTGGCTCCTCCGTCCTGCCTATTCATCATCATCATCATCATCACTCACATGCATTCTCTCATGGCTGGTGAGATTCAAAGGTGACTTAGCGTGTTCCGTCTCTGGCGAGGGGCAGAGGGCTTCAAGACCGCCTCTGTTCGCCGTCTACGGGAGGTGAGAGTGAGTGGCAAAGGTACACGAAGAGTGG